GATCTGTGCTAACTGTAGTAGTGTGTCTTCACATCACAGGGCCCAGGAACTGTGCTAAATGCTCATCCTATCTCATAAAGCAAGGCTCTAGGCAAATGCTATAAATCTCTGCTTCTTTGGCTTTAGGAACAGTCAGAGGAGTCTGACTTCTTGGTTTCTTTGCCAGAAGCCTTTCACTTACTTTACTGTTAGAAATGTTAAGTATTCCTATATTCGAACCAATTCCTCTATGCTGTGAATCATGGCTTTACTCAAAATAGAGCTCATTACAGTGTCATAAATGTCTGAAGCATTCCCTCAGATTATCTGGAACTAGAGCTTAATAACCAACCAATAAAATATCTTAGCTAAGCACTTTCTTACCTTCCTCTTTAAGAATCAGCATTGTTTTTCTGCAGTTAAAAATCCCAAAGACAATATAATCCAGGTTCTCTGTGTAATTTAAAGGCTGCTAAGTTAAACATTTATATATATATATGGTATCTTGACTTCAAAATTTGTGTCTAAGGATACATTGTTTTAGAAAAAGAGGTTTTGTTTCCACAGAAGATGAGAGCCTGTGGATTGCTTCCAGGCTAATATGGTTGGATCAGCCAAGACCCCCTGAAAGGTCTCCAATGACAGTCATGGCCCAGATGATCCAACATCCAAAATCAGCTTCAAAGCAACTGGTTGAGATGATCCATCCTCACAGATGACTACAGCTAAGATTTCACTATAATTTTTAATTTTTTCAGCATCCCCATAAGATTACCAGTACCCCTAATCAGCAGGAAGTAGTAGGAGAAGCTACACCCAAGTTCCCAAAATGCTGCTTATAAATGTTTATTTTTATTTAAAGGGGGTTGATTATAAATGCAATGTCCTTCTAAAGAAGAAAGGGGGATATAGATATGATAGGATGAAAGGGTACATTATTGAATCTACTTTTAAAGAGCAACAACTTGTTTTACATTGCTATGGATTTTAGTTTATTGATACAAATTTAAAATTAATTTTGTTATACTGTATATATATTTCTACTCTTGTTTAAGATATTATGTTTGTGCAACTCCTTTAAAATTGAAATGTATAATTAAGAAATACAGATTAATAATTAGTCATTTATGATAATCAAGCTTACAGTCATGTTAGTAAAGTTTTCTAGGTATGCATAGATATATTTCAATTAGGCAGGTAATCTTTAAACACTTCAAAGACCTACAGAATATGGCATTTAAAATGTTTTAAGAATTTAGACTTTTCTGGACAGTGAGACATGTCTGCTCCTGGCAGCACTGATTTGCTTCAAAAAGGAAGATGGGTATTGAAGACACTCCATATGGGGTTTATCTTCTTCTCGGCAAAACTGGCCATTTGGGCAAGAAACAGTTCTTGCCTGGACTTCTTAACAGTATGTTATATAGATTGGACATGCAGGACCCATGGGAAAGTGACTACTAAACTTTGCCTAAGCAGAATGAGATGGTCCTTCAGGTTCCTGCTTCACAGAGGAGACTGCCAGACATTCTGCAGGACACAGGGAGAAGCCACTGATGAACTCTACCAATAGACAAGATGATCCTTCAAATTTCCTGCTTCACTAAAAAGTCTGCTGGAGACTCTAGGCCTATAGGCTGAAGATGGATGCCCCAATGTTGCAGAGGAACTTTGGATGACTGTCCAGGCAGCCAAATGTTTCAGTCATTTCTAGAATTATGGAAGTTGCTTACAATGCATTTCCTGTTTACTTAGGTAATATTATAACCCTCTGGGGTCTTTGATGTAGTTGAAGACTAAATAGTTATAATTTTCCTTGGTTATGGTAAAAGATAAACTAGATATGAAACCTTAGACTCACAAATATAGGGTAGATAGAATATTTTCTTTAATTTTGCCAAATAGAAATAGACTAGATATTGTAACTGTAATTCCTGCTTGATAATTGTTCTAGTATATATAATTTTACTATGTTAAAGTTGAAACCTTCCTTTTTGATTAGATAGAAGAGGGGAAGTGCTGTGGGATGTCTTTCTGTATGCTGTGAATATGTTTTGCTCCCATTGGTTAATAAATAAGCTGCTTTGGCCTATGGCAAGGCAGCTTAGAGGCAGGTGGGAAATCCAAGTGGAGACACAGGAAAGAAGAAAGGCAGAAGCAGAGAGACATGAGCCCACTGCCAAAGGAGCAACAAGATGTCAGCAGACAGTAATGACATGGCCACGTGGCAACATATAGATTCATAGAAATGGGTTGACTTAAGATGAAAGAGCTAGCTAGCAAGAAGCCCCCCATAGGCCATACAATTGGTAATTAAAAAAAATCAGCATTGCTCAGTGAGTGGTGTCATATAGTCCTAATTTCAAATTAGGCAACGTAAAGAGATGAAGTTTTGGCAAGACCCAGATCCAACAGATAATGGTAACCCCAGAAAATAAAGACGTTTCCACTCAAGTGCATCCAAAATACAAACATTTGCAAGCTTTGGAGATGAAAGAGCCTCTACACCCAATACATGCCTCCTCTGTGTGAGGTGCTGAATTGCTTTTAGAAAAGCAGGTTTGGTGTTCCCAACTGCACTCGTTTAAAGCTGGCTGTTATTTGATGTTCTGTAATGTGTAATAGTAATGGTATCCATTATGTTTTCTGAAGAGAAAGAATGCATGCTTGACTTTTAAATCATGCACCTAGAGCAAGCATTTGGCTCCAGTGGCTTTCATCTTTACTGTGGTCTCCCATTAGCCTAAAATAATGATATAGCTGGAGCCTGCAGTGAAGGAGAGAGGAAAAATGAACTGCTTTATTTCACATAAAAATAAAAGCCTCTAATGTAATGATTTTCTTATTTGAGCCCATTCACACACAAACAGCCTATCTATGGAGTAGGCTTTTTTGCAAATACAGCTGCCTGAGTGTCTGTAGAAACACATTCTGGAAGTGAGAGCAATCTCTCCCACTAGAAGGCAATTCATCAAGCAAGAGGTGGAAATCTGGCTTAGTCTCTAACTGCCTAGTAGCAGTCCTGGTTTCTAGCTCAGGCACCCAGCTTCAGGGTTCTGCTCAGCATTGGGGTAAGCTCGAGCTAGAGGAACCTCGAGGCCTAGAGGGACTCTAAAGAAAGCACCAATAAAGACAGCCATGGCCAAAGCTGGCTTTCTGCCTGCTTTGTAGATGGAGTTTCACTACAAAACAGTCAAGCCTGCTTGGTAATGGACAGTCTAAGGCTCTTCATGCTGTAGTGGCAGGATTGGGGGCCTGCGGCAAGATACCGAATGGACTATGGAAGCAGAATATCTGCTCACTGCTTTCTATAACCAGAGGAGTCAGATGAGTCTGCAATCAATATCAATCAATCACCAATCAATCAATATTGCCAATCTGTTCTAGATCATCTTACTATCCATATTCACATTAAATATTGCCATCCTATGTCTTGGGAGTGTAAGTTCTCTGGAGTCCCTACATTTGGAAGTGTTTTCATGGACAAATCATCATGGAGTACAGGGCCATCATCATGTACTATGGGCATTCTGACTTCCTCTGATAGGAACATGCAGTGTTGTAACCTGTTTGCAGTGTCATGACCTGCTGTCTGTCATCTGTGTGCTTTCACATACATGTAGGTACAAGGACTGAGATTGTCACTCTAACTGGCTGGGGCTGCCCTTCAGACCCTCAGGAACATGGGGAGAGTGGCTGAGGTGGAGTCACACTGATTTCCCCCTGTATGAACAGGTTTTCTACACAGAAGTGGGTGAAGAAGTACCTGGCCATGCTGGCAGGGGAACAGAAGTAGGAGTGGTGTTTTCTGAAGTGAAGTGAACTGGGGAGAGGACGTCTGATTCTGAGGTCCTTGTTCCTTATGGGTGCAAGCCATTCTGGTTTGCTCAGGTGCTCCATCTGAGCACATCAAGAGTTCAAGTCTTGGTGGCTAGGAAGCCAGGGTGTGATGACATGGAGAGAATGTTTTGGATCATTGGGAGTTTTCCAATTTCCAGTCACTTTGGGTTCTCAGGCATATTAGAGAATGGATTCTCAGAGGAATTGCCTGTATATTTGGTTCATCCTAGGGTAGGGAAGTAACATGAGCAAATATATCTGAAAGCCAGGCTATTTCATGATGTGCAGAGGAGTATGGGCATCCTGCAGCCATGACATCTAAGAGGCCAGGCACTGACTTGGTAGTAAGCTGAAAGGTGGAGATGGGTGCCATACTCTGAGATCTCATGGGTTGATTCCAGTCAACAGACACATTTTGGTGCATGAATCTTTGATAGTTTCTAAGTTAACTGTTGACATTTAAAAATTTGGATATTTCATTAAAAAACATCTGGTTTTCCAACATTTCTTGCAAATTCAAAGTCTCAGGATGTACTGGGCTTCATGCCTTCTTTCCAGTGGTCATTTATAATTGAGGGTGGTTTGCTTGAGAGTGAACCAAAGTATTCCGGGTCAGCTTACCCCTGACCTTTCAGCTTTTGGTGGTGTTTGCCTAGCCTCTGGAGTCTTTGTATGCACAGGGAACTCATGCAATGGCAACCTGTTGCCACTCTGGTGGTTGGTCTGCTCTCTCTGACCTTGCTAAGCATTTCATAGCTCATGTCTGCCATATGTGATCTCATCACATTCCATCTGATTCACTGCTGCTGGGATAGGCAGCCCACTTGGGAAAGATACATTGATGTGTGGTCACTAAGGCTACAGAACCATTTGTTATACAAATCAGGAAGACTTTGAAGAATAATGTACTCAGTGCACAGGGGTGATTCTAGGAGAACCAAACACTAGCCTTTCACTGAAACTACCACTTCTCCTCAGCCACCCTCCTGGGAATGATGTCACTTCTGAAGAAGAGAGAAGCATGTTTTTAAGGACATTTTCAGAGGAAGTCATAATACTTAATGGCTTGGAAATAATTGCTGCTAAGATTCTCAGGTCGGGCTTTAGGACCCCTGTACTTCACTTTAGGTGATACACAAAAGAAGACACACAATGAAAATCAAGAAAGGATGCGTAGATACCTGTCATACTGTTAGGAGTCATAGGTTAGTAGTCATGCTGTGTCCTCTTCTGCACTGGCATTTCCTACAAAGAGACAAAATAATAATTCATATTACAATCTGCACTTGACTTTTTATTGAGACAGGATCTTACTATGTAGCACTAGCAGGCCTGGAACTTGCTGTGTGGATAAGAGTGGCTTCCAACTCACAGAAATCCCTCAGCCTCTGTCTCCTGAGTGCCAGGGTTTGACTTATTTATTAAATATATTTTATTTATTCTTTGACAATTTCCCCACATACCCCAAACACACACCCTCCCCTCTTCATGTTTTCTCTATTTTTTTATTTTTATTTTTTTCAAATCCAGTGAGTCCAACTAGTGCTGCCTATTGGCATGTTGACTGGTCTTGCTGGCTTGATTGTGTGTGTATGACCATAGCTTCAGTGAGTCCATGAGTTCAGAAGCCAACATATCATAGCGCTCCACCCCATCCTCCAGCTTTTACATTCTTTCTGCCTCCATCTTACTTAATTTGTTGTTATTGTTCCAAACAATATTGTGTTTACTAATGGACTTGATTAAGATTGCTCACTCTAACTTGGAACTGGGTTTAGAAGCAGAAAGGGGTTATATGGCACACACACAAGTCAGCAAAACCTTAATTTTTATCTCTGGCTTCATTCGATAATTAGGCTTTTAAAACTATTTTTTAAAGGTACCCACCCCCCCACTGTTCTTTGGTTTGTTTATAAGAGAGCTGCCAAACTATGCACGGGCTATTTTCCGATGACTAAGATATTTAAGCATCTCCAATCCAGAGCTTCTCACAGTGCATGCTGCAGACTAGCAGCCTCAGCCTTGATGGTGCCTTGAAGAAGACCCCAGATGATTCATATCTTAGACATCTTGTTCTTAAGAATGGACTCCCTCACCTGCCCATTTATGACATTTCCTCTTGTCAGAGCTGCTCTCGGCCCTTCACCAATGCATTTATGAAATCTATGAACAAATGAAAGACTGACACTCAGACCGGAGTGGGAGGAGGCACAGTGGGGTCAAGGACAGAGGCATACAGGCTGAGAGAAGTGTGCTGAAGGGTGCACACAAGCAGCTGGTACACACAGGTCAGACTCCTTCAGTGTATTGCTAGGGATTTTTTCTGGAAGGGGGTCTGTGCTGTGGAATAACCCTCTTGTACACTGTGAAGATTTGTCACTTGAATTGGTTTAATAAAATGCTGATTGGCAGTAGCCAGGCAGGAATTATAGGCAGGACAACCAAACTAGGAGAATGATGGAAAGAAGAAGGGCAGAGTCAGAGGAGACATAATTAGCCACCAAAGAAGCAGGATGTGTAGAAAATGATTTAACAAGCCATGAGTCATGTGGCACAGCATACATAAGAAACATGGGTTAATTTAAATGTAAGAGTTAGATAGTAACAAGCCTGAGCTATCAGCCAAGTATTTATAAGTAATATTAAGCCTCTGTGTTGGTTATTTGGGACTGGCAGCTGGGATTAGGAAAGAAACATTTACCTACAGGTCTGTGACAAGTACAGGACCATAGAAGCATGTGTCTCTAGAATGATCCTGAAGCCTAAGACATGGGTTATGTACTATGTACTAGCTGTGGGGTCCTGAAAAGCAATTTTTCTCTTTTTTTTAAATTAAAATTTGTTATTTATTTTACTTACTAATCACAGTTTCCCTTCCCCCTTCTCCTCCCATTTTCTCCCCTCACCTCTTCCCTCACCCCTGCCCACTCCTCAGAAAGGGTAAGGCTTCCCATGGGATTCAACAACCCATGGCATAGCAAGTTGAGGCAGGACTAAGCTCCTCCCCCCTGCATCAAGGCTGAGTGAGGCATCCCACCATAAGGAATAGGTTCCAAAAAGCCAGCTCATGCACCAGGGATGGTTTCTGAGCCTACTGTTAGGGGCCCCACAAACAGACCAAGCTACATAACTATAACCCACATGCAGAGGGCCTAGATCAGTCCCATGCAGGCTCGCTAGCTGTCTGTCTAGAGTCTGTGAGCTCCCACAAGCTCGGGTCAGCTGTTTCTGTGGATTTCCCCATCATGATCTTGACCCCCCCCCCCCCCCCACTTGCTCATATAATCCCTCCTCCTTCTCTTCAATTGGACTCCCAGAGCTCAGCCCAGGGCTTGGCTGTGGATCTCTGCATCTGCTTTCATCAGTTACTGGATGAAGGTTCTCTGATGACAATTAGGGCAGTCACCAATCTGATTATAGGAGAAGGCCAGTTCAGGCACCCTCTCCACTATTGCTAGGAGTCTTAGTAATTTACACAATGGAGTATTACTCAGCGGCAAAAAACAGTGACATCATGAAATTGCAGGCAAATGGATGGAACTAGAAAATATCCTGAGTGAGATAACCCAGACTCAGAAAGACAAACATGGTATGTACTCACTCATAAGTGGGTATTATAAAGCAAAGGATAGCCAGGCTACAACTCACAGTTCCAGAGAAGCTAGGTAACAAGGAGGACCCTAAGAGGGATGCATGGATCACCTTGGGAAGGGCAAATAGATGAGATCTCCTGGGTAAACTGGGGGTGAGGGGAGAGTGTAGAAGGGAGGGAATGGGGGATGGGAACAGGAGGGATCAGGATGGTCGAGTTGAGTGAGGGATGGAGAGGGAGAGCAATGAAACAGATATCTTGATGGGGGGGCATTATGGGGTCAAGGAGAAACCTAGTGACAGGGAAACTCCCAGGAATCCACTCACAAGGATGGCCCCAGCTAAGAGAAGCAATTGCTAAGCACTGGAATTCCCCTTTCTTCAACACAAAATGAGAAAATGGACGCAGGTTTCACTTGTGTCACCAGGCTGCCGCTGAGGCTCACAGGGTGGAAGGGGATTTGGAGGTGAGATACAGCATGCTGAGCTTTGGTTGCCCTTGGATGAGGAGCCACAGTCTTGTGGTAGGACAAGAGGAAGCCAATGGTCAAAGAAGCACATGAATTATGTTCACAATACAGCTCTCTATATAGCCACTCAGTCTGACTCTACACTAATGTGGTGGCTATGGTTTCTTGTCTTTATCATAGTTCTTATCACACCTAGCAGAAATGATAGGTTTGCGTGGCCACCTCTCCCATGAACTGTAATCTCTTATGGCACAACCTGCTATTCTCATTTTTCTATCTCCTTCATCAAGGAGAGTATTGGATACATAAACATATGTTGAACAATGGCTATGGTAAAGTGACACTGCTATGACATGCATGATTCATGCCACCTAAACTGGCGTCTGAGAGAAAAGATGGGAAGTAGCTACTAGGAAGTGAATTCTTACAGCTGACCTTTTTAAAAGGTCTCCGGCCACCGGCGTTCAGGCCCAGCCCCTTTCACATGCTCAGCTTCTTAGAGTAAGATGAGTCAGGCTTGGAGATGTTGACTGTGGGAACATGGCTTGTGCCCCAAGTCCAATGGACTCCGTTGATTTTAATAGCTTTGCTGTGAAGCCCCTCTCAGCCCTGGAACTTGCCATGTTTTCCCACCACACAACTGGAGTGCTTCAGAGGGCAATGAGGATGATGGATTCAGAGGGGAATGAGGGCTGTAGCTCAGATGAGCAACTAAAGTGCCCCACCTCTGGCCGTTGGTTCAAGGCCTGAAGTGTGGGATAAGATGCTTCCTCTGGATGCCTCCTCTGGACATTTGGGAACACAGAAAGGAAAGGGAGAACAAAGAGTTGGTAGAGAGGAAAGGAAGGAGGGAGGGAGGGGAGAGAGAGAGAGAGAAAGAGAAATAATTTCCTCTCAAGAGGAAGGTAAAAGTACAACTGTTTGGACCAGAGCAGGGGAAGCCTGATAGTCCCAAGCCTCATACCTGGTTTCAGTCTTCCTCAAGGCCCATTCCTATCCCCTCCTGGCCACTGAACTCTTCCTTGGTGACCTTTGGAAAACACACCCTCTTTCACACGAGCGGATTCAATCACAGTTGTCACCTGACTGACAGCTCCCGGCTTCATACACAGCAATCACAACGTGTGGTGAAATAGATTGTTCTCCTTTCTAATCTCTGCACTGGAGCCATACAGTCCCAGTCGTATTCTTGCGACACCATTAACTTAAAAGTTCCTTTATCTTCAAAATTCTGACTGAATGGGCAAATGTACTGCAGAAATAAATGCAATCTGTGAGGCAGAAGTGACTTGGAGCAGGAAAACAATCTTATCAGTATTCTAAAGGTCAATATCGTAAGCCTCAGTGCTAACCTCACTGGCTGGTGCTCCCCAGTACTTTTTCTTCAGTGAGAGTGAGGTTTATACCATATCATCACTGTGCCATGGTGACATCAGGAGATGGTATTACCTTCACTCTACTGTTAATGGTGTGCTGGTAAACTGTTACTGTAGTACTCTAGTAGTACCTAGCATGTAGTATTGTTACCATTGCCCTTCAGTGAGTTCTACATTTATTTATTTTCCCATGTGCGTGTGTGTGTGTGTGTGTGTGTGTGTGTGTGTGTGTGTGTGTGGTGGGTATGTGTGTGTTTGTGGAGGCCCGAAGTTGATAGGGAATTATCTTTGATTATTTTTCTATGTTGTTCATCGAGACAGAGTCTCCCAATCAAACCCAGAGCTCACTCAAATTGCTAGTATTGCTAACCTGTGTAGGGAGCTGTCTCTGCCTTTTGAGGCTGGAACTACAGGCAGGGACACCATGACATCTGACATTTACTTGGCTCCTGGGGATCTGAACTCAGGTCTTTAGGCTTGTGCAGCAAGTGCTTAACCACTGAGCCATCTGAGCCGCCTCCCCAACTCTGGGCTCTGGGGTTTTAAGTGTGACTCCAGGGATGCGTCTGACAACTTGTCAGGTATCACTGTTTCCAGGGCCTCAGTTCTACCTATCGCATAACAGGGAGGGCCTTCTCCAGAGCTGTGCAGGGGTCTGGGGCCCAGCAGTTTGAGGGGCCACAGGAGGAAACAACTCAGTTAAATCAGGCTAGCTGACTTGCATGCCTGAAAGGAATAGGCACAGTGCAGGCCTTTGTGAGGTGGAGCAGGGTACTGAGTGCGAGGTACTGAGTGCGAGGCAGAGCAG